TCCAACCCTTGCCGGTTCCCGCACGAATTTGGGAGGACATCACCATGGATTTTATCAAGGGGTTGCCACTCTCGAACGGGTTCAATGGAGTGATGGTGGTAGTCGACCGTCTTACCAAGTATGCTCATTTTATTCCACTTACTCATCCGTACACGGCTAAGTCTATAGCAAAATTATTTGTCGAATATGTGATGAAATTGCATGGGGTGCCGCGATCGATTGTGTCCGATCGAGATCGGATATTCATGAGTAGCTTTTGGTCGGAGTTCTTCAAATTGCAGGGAACCGAGCTAAACATGAGCTCGTCATACCATCCACAAACCGACGGACATGCGGAAGTCACCAATCGCACGCTCGAGCAGTACCTTAGGTGCTATGTGCATCAATTTCCAAAGCGATGGGAGGGTTATTTACCTTGGGCCGAGTATTGGTATAACACCACTTACCATAGCTCGACTAAGGCAACGCCGTTCGAGTTGGTGTACGGGCGCAAACCGCCGACGATCGTGAGTTACTCGATGGGGAGTGCCGTGAACGACGAGGTCGATCGAGAGTTGGTCGAACGAGACTTGATGTTGCGCGAGCTAAAGCGGACGTTGGAAGGCTCGATCAATCGGATGAAGGCGTACCATGATGGCAAGCGGTGTGACGTAGAGTTTGAGCCTGGGACTGGGTATACTTGAAGTTGAGGCCTTTCGACAAAGGACGGCCGTGCAAAGGGCCGCGACCAAGCTCAGAGTTCGATATTACGGACCTTATAAAATTTTGGCCAAGGTTGGGAAGGTTGCTTATCGACTTGAGTTGCCGGGCGACTCCCATATTCATCCGGTCATACACGTCTCGCAACTCAAGCAACAACTCGGCGAGGCGCATACGGCAAAGGATCGACTACCCGCGGTCGCGTCGGACGGGCAGGTTATGGTGCGGCCGAGCCGTGCGAGGGAGTATCGGCAAGTCAAAAAGGCTGGAAAATATTTCTGGGAAGTGCTCGTCGAATGGGAGGATTTACCGAGCGAGGAAGCAACGTGGCAAAGTTGGGACGAGATGCGCGAGATGTTTCCCGATTTCTTCCTTGAGGACAAAGAAGCACTTGAAGGGGACGGGAATGATGAGAACACGGCAAGGAGATTAAAGAATCCTGCGAGCCGCGCTTATCATGCACGACGGAGGTTAAGCCGACGGGTTGCCCAGGCCCAACTCATTAGAGGACATGCGCGCGCGGACGGTGACGCGCGCGAGAATCTCGGCCAAGGGTGCATTAACGCGGGTACGAACGAGGAGGTTCACGCGCGAGCAGGCCTAACCACGCAAGGAGTAGGCGAGGCGGGCGCGCGAGGGCAGCACGCGCGCAATGGCGGCTTGAATCGCAAGCAAGAGATATTCTAGATATTTATTTCCTTGTTTTCTAGTTTGTTTAGGACTCCTAATATTTTATTGCTTTATTAGAGTTATAGTTATATTAGGACTAGATCTAGTTGATGCCTATATAAAGGCCGTTCCTTGTTATTTTTCGGCATTCAGAAATTAATACAAAAATCCGAACTTTTGTTCAAACACTTTGCTCTGGTTTTCTTCTGGAATTCTTTTGCAATTTTATTTGTTAGAAAGGCTGCGAGTGTGCGACTTCCTAACACCTATCGAGCGATTT